GCGGAGTGACATGTGCTCGTTTAGGTTCATTGAAGACCACTCGTGCTGCTGCGTTCTGGAGCAGCTGAAGAGGCTTGACAGAGTTAGCTGGAAGCCCAGCTAGTAGAGAGTTGCAGTAATCCAGTTTGGAGAGAACAAGAGCTTGAACAAGGAGTTGAGCTGCATGTTCAGATAAGAAGGGTCGGATCTTTCTGATGTTATAGAGTGCGAATCTACACGATCGAGCAATTCTAGAAATGTGGTCAGAGAAGTTTAGTTGTTCATCAATCGTTACTCCAAGGCTTTTCACCATTTTGGATGCAGTAATGGTTGCCCCATCCATCTGGATTGAAAAGTTATGGTGTAGAGTCGGGTTGGCAGAAACTACAAGCATTTCCGTTTTTGCGAGGTTCAGCTGGAGATGATGATCTTTCATCCAGTGTGAAATATCCAACAGGCAGGCTGAGATGCGAGCTGGAACCGAGGGATTTAATTTAAAAGGATATCAATCATTAGATCTTGTGTACAGTGTTTTTCCCACTCAGACGCTCTGATTTTTCCCAAAAGGTTGAAGTGCTTTATACAGGGATGCAAGTGCCATCTTGTCTGTGAGGTGCCAAAAACATTAGACATTTATGAACTTCTTAATGTCTTAAAACAGCGTGCCAATCTCTGATCCGGGCTAAAAGCAAACAGACTTACTGCTTATCTCAAAGATGTTGCAAGCTGAGTTCCTGGATTCTTTTCAGAAATATGGTCATGTGAGATACAAAGTTTTGTCTCTTGTGCTGGAAATTCTAAACCATTTAAACTTTTTGACATGGTGCATCATCTACAACGTGACTGACATTTTTGGAAGAAATGGACACTTCAAATTCACTTTAAAGCAGCTATTTTTAATTGCAACCATGAGCTATTGCATTGAAAATATGCACAGTTAATAATGGTGGATCTTAAACCCAACGCTAAACCACTAGGCTGTCACTAGATTGGCATAAACAGTATTATGATATTATGGTAACACGTAGGTTTAAGTAACAATTCTCTATTGAGTAGTGGCTTATTACCTGCCTGTTATTAAGAAATTGGCTGTTTATTTGAACTTATAAAGTATATTTTCTGCTAGACCTTATTCTGCATCCCCAGCCTAATATCTAATCTTACTATTATAATAATTATAAATAAGCATAATAAAAGTGTATTGATGCAAAAGTCATAGTTAATGGTTTATTAATAGCAAGAATTGTACTTTAAAATAATGTGTGACTGATACTGGCTGCCATCTTTTTTTGCATTGAGCATGGAAGGAGTTGCACCTTACCTTTGAGATAAATCCAAGAGGAGGCAATGCACTTTGCACTGAAACACAAGTATTAACAAATCAAAAGAGCATACTGTAATATCATTGTAGGCTTCAGCACAAGCCATTTTTAATGCATTTCATTTATTGATATTCTTTCAATATATATGCATTTCTGGCATTTATGTAGGTAGTCCTGAAGATTTGCCATCCAAAGTCTAATCAATTACAAAGAAATTGTTATTTCAGCAATATGCAATCTTTGTTCAAAGATGCTGATTATGTAAACAAGTTTATATGAGTTCCACTGAAAACTTACCAGGAGTGGGGTTCGAACCCACGAGGACATCTGTCCATTGGATCTTAAGTCCAACGCCTTAACCACTCGGCCATCCTGGTCGTTCAAAGACAAGCTTAATGCACTTGGATACTCCCTAAAGTGGCCATAAAGTCCATAAAGAGCAAGCTAACCTATATGTTTTATCTCATAGATAAGATACTGCTTCTAATGACAGATACAGTAACACATTTGACATCTTTATTACACTCAAAAAATGATTATCTTTTGACTCAAAATGCATTGAATGGCATGTCCAAGTCACATACAGGTAGGCCCAAATGTGTTTAAATTGAATCTAATTCACCACAAAGGGTGGCGCAGTGGCTGTCGCCTCACAGCAAGAAGGTTGCTGGTTTAAGCCTCAGCTGAGTCAGTTGACATTTCTAAGTCATGTTCTCCCATGAAGTCCAAAGACATGTGCTATAGGTGAATTAGGTAAGCTAAATTGTCTTTAGTGTAGCGTCTATGGGTGTTTCCCACGTTCACAGCTGGAAGGACATCTGCTGCTGTTAGTGGTTTATTCTGCTGTGGTGACCACTGATTAATAAAGCAGCTAAGCTGAAAATGAATGAATGAGTTCATCACGAATTAGTCTAATTAACTAAATTTCTATTAGTAAATATTTTTTAAATAAGAGCTTTAATTTAATATATTACATTTAAACAGACATAATTTGATTAAACGTGAAAAGCATTAAATACACATCCCCAAAAAGTAGATTTAAATGGTGATTATTTGTGCCAATTGCCTAGTGGTTATATGTGCCAACTTATGATCCCATGGTGTTCATGGAGACCCGAGTTTGATTCCTGTCAATTCTCTGCACCATTCTGTACATTAAAGGGTAAAACCCATAAAATTTTTTAAATAAATGTATTTTTTTTACATACATATTTAGGGCTACTACTATGCAAGTTTATTTTTATTTTTTTTGTTGCTTGTACAAACTACTTATTTAAAATGTGCTGAATTAACACAAGTTTTTTAGGGGGACAACTTAATTGCTTTAAGTTCAATCCTATTCAATATGTAAAAACAATTAGGCTAACTTAATCGATTTGTGCTGCGACAACTAGAAGAATTTGTGTGAAACCCAGCATTTTTTACAGTGTAAATAATTTTTGGTAATTAGTACAAAAAGTATCCCTATATAAACATATTCCAAAAATCTCATTGAAAACTGAACGTTTCAGAAGCTCTTAGCATGCTAGTTGCATTGTCATTCTAATTGTTGTAAAGATTTCCTGAGAATCACTCTGATTGCAGGCGTTCTGCTGTTTTGGTTGTCCAAAAAGAGCCAGATTTTGATTCAGATGTGAGACTGATAATAATGGAAGCCAAGCCATCATACAGTACCTGCATCGCTTCAGCATGTTCGTATATGCTCCATCAACCTGAATGATTCATAAAGCTGGTACTTACTGATTTGTTTTGATTGATTCACTAAAAGAGTCGGCTCACAAGAGTCAGTTACGTCGTAACAGGAACTATCGATCAGACGGCGTTATCTTCCCTTAAGTAAAGATTAACTACTCTGTCAAAAATTAACAAATGTTTGCCGTTAAAATGAGAAGGTTAACTGTAATTATCATACAATGTGTATTGAGTTGTTTTGATTGTTTCACCAACACCCGGAGAAGATGGTTTTGCTGGCTCCTTCCTACGAGTGATTCAAACCTACAGGCTAAGCTAAACAAAGCATCGTGACGGTTACTACTAATTCTCAGATTCTCGTTAGATTGCTAATCAATCCTTATAGTATACACCATTATACTTTTAAAAACAAGTAGGCTAACATTATAATGTTCTATAAAGTTCTTGTCATCAATGATTTCAAAAGTAAGCCATTATAATAATGGTTCTGATCAGAGGTGCCCAAACTGGTTGTTGCTATGGTTTATTAAATTTCCCATTTATTGTATTTTATTAACGTCTACCCCCACCCTAAACCCAACCGTCACAGTAATATAAAAACAGTAGTTATGTAATCCAAATTACCCAATAAATTATATTTTTTAATGCTTACCCCCGCCCCAACTCTAAACCTAACAGTACTGTAAAAATATTAATTATTGTCACACGTTGTATAACTATTCTCGCTATTAACAAATCATAAACTGTGACTTTTGTATTATTAAACACATCATTTGTTTTTTAGTAATAATAGCTAAGTTAGTAAGATCATGCATAAGTAATCCAAAACAACAACAACAACATCTTTATATTAGGCAGGTAGGCCTACAGTTGAAGTCAGAATTATTAGCCCCGCTTTTAATTTTTTATTTCTTTTTAAATGTTTCCCAAATAAAGTTTAATAGAGAAAGGAAATTTTCACAGTGTGTCTGATAATATTTTGTCTTCTGGAGAAAGTCTTATTTGTTTTATTTCAGCTATAAAAAAACAGTTCTTAATTTTTTAAACACCATTTTAAGCACAAAATAATAAGCCCCTTTAAGCTATATATTTCTGTCCAATAGTCTAACAAACCATCGTTATACAATAGTTTGCCTAATTACCCTATCCTGCCTAGTTACCCTAATTAACCTAGTTAAGCCTTTAAAAGTCACTTTAAGCTGTATAGAAGTGTCTTGAAAAATATGTAGTCAAATATTATTTCCTGTCATCATGGCAAAGATAAAATAAATCAGTTATTAGAAATGAGTCATTAAAACTATTATGTGTAGAAATGTGCAGAAAAAAATCATTCCATTAAACAGAAATTGGGGGAAAATAAACAGGAGGGCTAATTATTCAGAGGGCTTATAATTCTGATTTCAACTGTATATATAAACTACTAGTAATTAGTGAGAATTGGTACAAAAGCCAACGTGTTACCAACATCTTATGCAGTAATAATGATGTCAAATGTCATTTTGCTTCATACTCCCCAGCTCTAGCTGATTAGATAACGACGGATAGGCATTTTAATGAATCCCAGCATAATAATAAGCAAAGTCTGCCTGTTCTGTCTCTGTTTGATGTCTTTCTTTCGGCTGTATATCATCACTGCGGCCCTAAATGAGAGAGAGAGATTCAATTCCTCTGATATAAACCAACAAGTCATTATATGTCTGTGGAGGACTGCCACCATAAATGAACATTTTATGGGCAGGAATTACAGCAGTCTGTTGATGTCAGGCGAGAAAACCGCTGTTTGCGGAAATGCTTTATAGTTAAGTGTGTTTTTGGATAACTTTTTGGATGCCTTGTCACATAATTTTCCAGACTTTGTCCTCCTGCATTAAACAGCTATTGAAGCGGTGCTATCTGACGCTATTTATAGGCCACAAAGAACAAGCAAAAGATCACTTAATCAGCGTCCATTGAGATTTGAGATATTGCTGCAAATTCTGCCTCGTGCCTGCTGTTATTTCTCCTCAGGACATTCAGACAGATGTTGACACCCAGACTGATCTTTCGAAAAGGGCTCTGGGGGGTCAGATCCTGAATACCAAAACACAAGAGCTTGATAAGTTTGCCGAAATGAACCACGTAGCTTCGAGAAGGTCTGTGCAATAAATCCAGCAAGATAAACAAATAAATATCTCAACCACTGGAACACAACGGCCAGAGCTTTCCTTCAAATTGACTTGTTTTCACAGGGAGCGTTTGGAGGCCGGTGTGGAAAAATGGACTGGACTCGTAGCCGTCCTTCAAGAGCTTTGGTTTTGGGTAAAGCTGAAAGATGAGGAACTGACACGGCAAAGGCCAATGGGAGAAGGTGTACATACTTTACTGCAGAAACAACGCTACCGGACGGTCAACTCACAGGTAAGAGGTGTGCGATATTGACAGCAACAAGTCAAATCTTGATGTTTCTGTTTTTTTTTTTTTTTTTTTCTACAGCATATTAAATATATATATTTCCTGAGTGTGTGGTTTGGCTGGTTTAGTTCTGTCAAAAATAAATATATCTACCCTAACCCTAAATATAGCATAATTCTAACTCCATTTGAATAAAATTAATTTAACTTTCAGTGCATTTGGACTTTCAATATTTGATTGTGTTAGTTGTTTACAATGACAAACATGATAATATCAGCTCGAACAATCTTTTTTTTTTTCATTGAAAAAACCTTCATACAAACACTGAAAACCCTAATAAGTTGACTAAACTAAATTAATTGAGGAAACTCGTTGCATCAGTTTAATTGAGTAATGGGGTCTCACAAAACTTGCTTATTTAATTTTATTTAACTTGCCGGTTTTGTAAACTATACTTAAATTGTTCAGTTCACCAAACTTAGTACTAATCAGGTTGGATGGGAAGCAACGGTGTACAGCCATTTTCAGATCTCTCCAGATATGTTCAATAGGATTTAGGTCTGGGCTTTGGCTGGGCCACCCAAAGACATTCATCAAGTTGTTGTGAAGCCACTCCATTGATATTTCGGCGGTGTGCTTTGGGTCATTGTCCTGCTGGAAGATGAACCGTCGCCCCAGTCTGAGATCAAGAGCACTCTGAAGCAAGTTTTCATTCAGGATGTCTCTGTACATTGCTGCATTCATCTTTCCCTCTATCCTGACTAGTCTTCCAGTTCCTTCTGCTAAAAAACATCCCCACAGCATGATGCTGCCACAGGGATGGACTGGGACAAAAATTCAGCTCTGGCACTATAGCCACACCAGCCCACATTACCATACGTACTGTTTGTTTGACATTCTTGCCAGATTTTGATTATGTCCCCGTAATCTTTGATTGAGTCGGCCCCTCTCGAAACTATCACCGATTGGGCCAAATGCTTAACATTTACTATTATTATTACTATTATTACCATCATCAACGTCATCATAATATTCACGTTACACGAGATAAAAGCTGCCTGCATGTAAAAACAATACATATAAAAAATAATAATAAAAAAAAAAAAAAGAAAACTGACTGGCCCACATTTAAAGGGTCACGAAACACCAAAACACATTTTTTGAGCTGTTGACAGTCGTATATGTGTCCCACACTGCTAAAAACACTATTAGGACACATATATTTCACTAAAAAGTGTAAATTGGTTGTTTTTGCGTTATTTCAAGCAAATTCGTACTTCCTGTTTGAAACGAATTTTTGAAGCTGCGTCACGGTCATGACATAATAGCGTTGTATTCCAGCGTGCAGACTGGACGTCTGTGCCAGAGTGTGTCTTATTACATCTTACAGTGTGATGCATTAATGCATGAGTAAGGCTTGGTTCAAACCAATCAGCGCGCTCTACTGTGCAACTTCATTAATATTCATTTGTGTCACCGTGCTTACACCACAAAGACGCCACGTTGTGTTGGCAAAACAAGCGTGAAGTGTTGCTTTTATAGTTTGCTGCCGTTAAGTTTTGTTTTCATTTTCTCTCTGTGAGAGCTTATCTGGATCACGTGTGGATTACAGTGTACGCGATGCTCGACAACAATAACTTACGTGTCTAAGGGGGATTATTGTTTACCTGAGAGCTGTTCTCATCTGCAAACGCTGAAATCTGGATTCGCTTGTAGTATTCTCTCCATAAAGACGCGGCTCTAGTTGCTGGTGATTGTCCTGTCTCTACAGATTTGGTAAGTGAGCGACCAGTACTCTTTGTTTATTCAGTTTGTTCGTATCGAATTAAGTTAACTATTGCACTGAGTGCATAAATGTTAGCACCCCATTTTGTGACCGGAATAACACACGCGGCTTTCTGACACTACCTGCCGTGTGAATCTAAGTTTCCGGGAAATGCGGAGTTTTTTTTCGCTCATTCGCCGTGCGGTATCAAACATTGCATGAAAAATACACGCTTAGAGCAGTTCCTCGAATCAAATATCTCGTTTGTCGCGAGGGGCATGAATGAATTCCCTGAATGAAAGAGCCAAACTGCAGTTAAAGTCCAACATTTAATAATTTGGCAAATAATTCGACTACAGATGTCCATGTAGGTTAAACACCATCACTTTCTCCTGTCTGTGTGTGTGTGTATTTTGACTCTGAAACTCGCGCGTGCACAAATAGACACTCACACACCATCCCACTTTAGTTCCTCCGACACTCCCCCCTAAACAGAGCTGGACACGCCCACTTTTCTGACTTTTTCCAAAGTAGAGGTGTGAAAACACCCTGCTGAAACGAGGGAGTTTCATGGCCCTTTAAAAAAATGGTCCGGCCCTTCTGGCATTTGCCAGAATTGCCAGATGGCCAGTCCGCCCCTGTGCTGCCACCACCATGTGTGTGTGTGTGAGCAGTGCCTGGTTTTCTCGGAACATAATGCTTGACATTCACTCCAAAGAGTCTAATTTTAGTCTCATCAGATCAGAGAATTTTATTTCTTATGGTCTGCGAGTCCTTCAGATGCCTTTTGGCAAATTCCAGGCAGGTGGTGGCTTCTGTCTGGCTTCTCTACCATACAGGCCTGATTGGTGGATTGCTGCACAGATGGTTTTCCTTCTGTAAGGTACTTTCCACAAAAGAACACTGGAGCTCAGACAGAGTGACCTTCGGGTTATTGATCATCTCCCTGACTAAGGCTCTTCTTCCCCGATCACTCAGCTTAGATGGCCGGGCCAGCTCTAGAAAGAGTCCTGGTGGTTAAACATCTTCCACTTACAGATGATGGAGGCCGCTATGTTCATTAAAACTTTTAAAGCATCAGAATTTTTTTCTGTAACCTTCCCCAGCCTTGTGCCTTGAGACAATCCTGTCTCGGAGGTCTACAGACAATTCCTTTGTCTTCATGCTTAGTTTGTGCTTTGACATGCACTGTCAACCCTGGGACCTTATATAGACAGGTGTATGCCTTTTCAAATCATATCTAATCAATTGAATTTAACAAAGGTGAAATCCAACTAAGCTGCTAAAACATCTTAAGAATGATCAGAGGAAACAGAAAATACCTGAGCTACATTTAAAGCTAAGGCTGTGAATATTGATGTACATGTGATTTTCAGGTTATTTATTTTTAATAATTCTGCAACATATTTTCTCTTTTTCACATTGTCATAATGGGTTATTGTGTGTAGAATGTTTGGGAAATAAATTCATTTACTTTATTTTTAAATAAAGTAATTTTTATTTTGGAAAATGCTGTAACATGAAAAAATGTGGAAAAAGTGAAGCGCTATGAATACTTTCTGAATGCACTGTATCTACAAAAATAATATAAATGGTTCCCAAATTTAGTTTGAAATGGACAATTTGTCACTTAGTGTGAATCTCAGTTCTTCTGAGTGTTTTTGCAATACACATACATAATAGAATTGCTGGTGTTTGGTTTCTACTGCAAGAACTTTTCTCAGCTCCTTAAAGTCCAATACTAGAATCAGGTTCCAGATTGGTGGAGAACACCTCAGAAAAAATGGTTGTAGTTTATTGTATTGTTTATTGTATGAAACAGAGTTCCTGCTGACACATTGCACTTACTACATGAAGAGATTGTTGGGAATATTTTATGAAGTTTTCATTTAGAATAATGGAGCCTATGAATGACCTTATATTGGATCAGTTTTGTGTTCACAGAACATAATTGTACATTACTCAAGCAGTCATCCCATCTGTTATCACAAATGCTAAAACTCATTTCCTTGTCCCAGTCATGTCTCATTTTATCTGTACTTCTGTTCAACAATTATAAACATTCATTCATTCATTCATTTTTTTTGTCGACTTAGTCCCTTTATTAATCCGGGGTCGCCACAGCGGAATGAACCGCCAACTTATCCAGCACGTTTTTACACAGCGGATGCCCTTCCAGCCGCAACCCATCTCTAATAAACATCCACACACTCATTCATATGCACACTCATACATTATTGACAATTGAGCCTACCAAATTCACATGTAGTGCATGTCTTTGTACTATGGGGGAAACCGGAGCACCCGGAGAAAACCCACGTGAACGCAGGGAGAACATGCAAACTCCACACAGAAACGCCAACTGAGCCGAGTCGAACCAAGGTTTGAACCAGCGACCTTCTTGCTGTGAGGTGACAGCACTACCTACTGCACCACTGCGTCGCCCAATGTTAAACAACACAATATTATTGCACACAGTAAATTCCACACACCCCTATTCACAGGATGAAACTAATCGAACTGTAAGGATCATTAAATCACAGTAGAAGGACAGTTAAATAAACACAGTGAAGTTTGAGTGATGTTATTTTCAATCATTCATTTTCCTTCAGATTAGTCTCTGATTTATCGGAGGTTGCCACAGCGGAATGAACCGACAACTATTCCAGCATATGTTTTACGTAATAGATGCCCTTCTAGCTGCAACACAGTACTGGGAAACATCCATAAACTCTAGCATTCACACACTCATACAAGGTCAATTTTGTTCATCCAATTCACTTATACCGCATGCCTTTGGACTGTGGGGGAAACTGGAGGAAACCCACGCCAACATGGGGAGAACATGCAAACTCCACAAAGAAATGCCAACTGGCGCAGTCGAGACTCAAACCAGCGACCTTCTAGCTGTAAGGCAACAGTGCTAATGTCACCGACTCGGTCCCAGTCATTCCCCTCGCTGGCCGGCAGAGGCCGCCATCTCCGGACTTCTAGCATTACATCATCCACTTACGCTGATTGTGCACACACCTGATCTGAATCTAGTTAACGACCCACGTACCCCTTATAAGCCGCACTCAAACACTCAGTCAGTGCGAAGTCTTGTTTAGCCCCGGCCAGCATTACTGAGCGTTATTTCTTGCCTGATCTCTTGTGTATAACT